GAGAAAAAGATGTTGATAAAAAGTTATATAAAATTCCAGAAAAGCATTATTAACAAAGTAGTAGAACTTGGAATTATACCCAAGGTAGAAGGAGGGGGTGGAGAAGTTTCTTCTGTGTGCATAAATCAGGGTTTTCTATCCGGATCTCTAAGGCCTCGGTAATGCAAAGTATACGGAAGCTTACCGTTTTCGAGAGGCTTCTTTTGACTTTTTAGATGACTTTGAATGAATTCTCCTTACATACTGAGTGACCAGTGTTGAATATACATTCAGCTATAGCACTCCTTATTGATCCACTGTCACCTTTTCGTAGCTAAGCGGAATAATCTTCTTTATCTCTTTTAGATAAAACATGCGTCGTACAACCTATATATCTCACTCCACATGAGCAAGTAAATTGGTAGATGCACTCTGAAGTGGTCATATGTGGTAATTTATCTTTGTAGTTGTTGAAGAACAGTGGGCGGCTTGAGAATACCAATCGTAATGTAGCAGCAGAGAATGTTCTTTTCAGGGTGTTAGATATTCTTCTCTTTAGAATGTCGCCCAGAAGGTCGCCTTTGAACGCCACATTCATGTATAGCATCTACTTCGACACACAGATGGAGTGTTCTTTGTTGATTGTTCATTCATACGTGTGTAGTTACTTGAAAACCAGTTACTTAGAACTAAATTTGCTTACTCAGTCGTTGTATTTAATTTAAGGTAAATATTGCATTACTAACCATATGTCTTTCGTCTAAATCTTTCTATTGAAGAAAATTTGATGCTATCTTTCACTTCTTTATAGGATTTCATTGTAAGCTGACACCGGTTAGAGAAACACTGGGAAACCTGGGAGTACTCGACAGCTGTTTCGTACTAGTTTGGGACTCTTCATCAGGGTTCGAACTCAGGACCTTCTGGTTACAAGGTGACTCGTAGACCATTAAGCCACTGGGACCCGATCCAATGGCCAGCCCATGAATTCCAAATTCTGCCAAATAATGACTGCTCACAGATTTCTGACGTAATATGGCTTGGTAACTGTACAGTGGGCTTAACTTACGAAACACTGACCAATAACAAAGGCTATTAAACGAAATCAAATTATCATCTACTGATTAGTTTGTAAATACTAAAAGCCTGTATTCAAGAATGTCTTTATTTCAGTATTCATATTTCCAAATCTATCAGTCAGTATAATGCATTAGTATAAAGAGAAAAGTTTTTACCCTTCTGTTGGCGGTACATTCCGACTAACTGAGAAATTCAGTACTTATTCCTAACACTTATGGTGTATCTAACGAAATCGACTTATCGCCTGTGAATTCCATCCATTCATTGTTGCACTAAGTAGGATTATTTACACTATTATTGTTGCAATATGTTCTATACTTATAATGTAAGGAAAAAGAATTCAAAGTTAGATTTCAATATTCTTCAGTGGGATTTGTTCGACTTTTCTTCACTTTAATCTGATTCGACGTTAGTAAATGTTGTAAGATACTTTACATTGAACCAAAAATCATTGTTTTTGTGGCTTGAGAGAGAAAGATCACGTACAAACAGATGAAACACTCATTTTCAACAAATCTCGGTTTTCTGCGTTACTCTAAGTGATTTCTTAGCATAATGAAAACTTTTTGATCTTAAACTGGAATGTCATAGTTTTGTATTACTTTGTTGACCTCAAATTAGAAAATCTTTTTTTTCGTTTCTATTTTCCTCAGTTTTTGAAGGATAATTTATTAGATTTACGAACATATTAGAACACAACTGTTATTCACTTTACTAATTAATAGCCGAGGTTTACATTTAGAAAAACTAGTCAGTAATTAGTGCTGTCAGGTGTGTTTCAGACAAACTAATTGCACCATATGATTTCTCACATAAAAAAATTATTGTAAATGTATTTCAGTGGTATCGCCTGCCATCATAATAATTCCGTTTATCGTAATAAATGTAAACTAATAATACATATTATATATATGTTAGAAAGTAGGAAATATGTCCTCGAATTTTCTGATAAGAAATCACTGTTCTTCGGACAAGCTTTTATATTATTTTTAGTGTACAGTTCTGCATAAAAGAGCCCAGGTGATCTCTCAAAGATCGAGAAAAACTAGTATTGACCAAAAATTCTGGTGCGTCGGTGGCACAGCGGTTAGGACTCCCGCCGACCATGCACATGGTCCGGGGTTCGATCCCCTGCCGACGCATACCCGATATGAATGGTTGGCCTGCAAAATTGGGCTACCGATATCCATGCTGAAAATTCCATACTTGTACCGAAAATACGGTGTGGAATCAAGCTATAATAAAAAAAAATCAAGCGGTCACAATATCAAAATCTGTTATTCATCTTGTCTTGAAAAAGAGTGATCATAATATCTTAGTACTTAGACGAAGACGTAACGCTGCATTCAAATATAGTGTATACAGCTGAAATCTGGATCATTGAGAATGTCAAGACTATACGTACATGTATATTACATATATATATATATGTAAGCCCCTAGAACTAGTAAAAAATGATACCATATCACATTATATTATTCAATTTAAATTTATGTGTAGTCACACGTACACTGAGAGTACTCATTGATCGATGAAGGTGAAGACTACAGGACATACTCCTAAGTGTATTCTAAAGCAGGTTTATTCTTTTAAATCAATTAGTGGTTCAAATTTACAACCAAACTCCTCACTTGCAAAGCACATTATCGGGAAAAAGTATAAAATAGGCACCTATGTGTAATTTAAACATGTCTATGAGATTTGTTAGGGCAGATCGTTTGTAGAAGCCTTAACGGTTAGGATTAGCGTCAGAAACTCTGACGATTTTTAAATAACCTGTACACCTTTATATCATGAAATCCAACAATCCAACATTTCATATCTAACTTAGCTCATTCACAAGCAAAAGACAACTTTTGCTAAGCTAAAAACAAGTTCCAAACAACTCAGTCGATTCAGGTCCACAAGTACATTAGTGGATGTATCTTAGCTCTAGATTACTTTTCCCAACATTAACATCACTCAATCTTAGATATTTCCACATTTCTAGCTACTACGTAGTAATTGTGGATCTTATATTGATAATATATTTCCATCTGTCTTCTTCAAGCAACCGTTTTTACAAATACACATATAACAAAGACAATGTAATCTCGCAAACTCTATCAACTCTACGAAATAAATCCCGATTTTCACAATAGGACACAGGCAGACACTATTCCTATTCTCCAATTTAGCTTCTGAAGACACCAACAACACGATTAGTGCAAGTTAGAGAATGTTAATTTAAATTTTTCTAACCACATCCCGAATAACTCAGGAACATAGTGAACGACTTACCTCGAAAAGTAGGGCGAAAGAGGTGATCTAATAAGATTATGCAGCGTTACTATCTGGAAAGATAGGCTGAACTGACACAAAGATGGAATAATTTATTACTTCGACCCCTGATGCGGAAAATCAATAAACAGTAACATTTTAGAGGATACATCAGAAATAATACCTTTTGCATTCTGGCCTACTTACAAGTAGTTCGAAATATACAGAACAATTATTTTCGAAGGATTTATTTGCATGGAGAGATAAGGTGCACAGAATCTACTCGAATATATTATACAGATATTACCACTAATCTGCTCTTGTGATAAAGGATAATAACTCCCATAACTTATTCACCAGGTTCTACAGTTACACATCCATATTAGTTGAAGAATAAGTGTTATTGACAACGTTATTGTTTCTAAATAGCACCAATTACAGTTCAAAACATGTGTATGTGATAATATGTATAACTACAACACTAAGTTGAACATCAGATAAATTAAAAGAACAGGAGGTTCGTCCATACAAGTGTAATAATAAATGAGGGATATGGGAAATTTATATATACAGAGCAAAATGTCATACCTGAAAGGTATGACGCAACACGGTATTTAGGAATTTATAGATTCCGCAGCATTCACGGTTCTGATCCAAACAGACAATAGGGCGAACAAAGAAGAACCTTTTCCGTCGCCTACTGCTTACTGAATGAACTGCCTAAATCCACTAGGTACCAAATACTCCAAACAAGAGAAGCTATAGAATTCGCTTAAGCCAGACAGAGCTTTATGTATAAAAGAAACAAGTCCAGCCACTAAATTTATCCTGGACTGCTGTGGAATCTATAAATTCCTAAATACCGTGTTGCGTCATACCTTTTAGGTATGACATTTTGCTCTGTATATATAAATTTCCCATATCCCTCATTTATTATTACACTTGTATGGACGAACCTCCTGTTCTTTTAATTTATCTGATGTTCAACTTAGTGTTGTAGTTATACATATTATCACATACACATGTTTTGAACTGTAATCGGTGCTATTTAGAAACAATAACGTTGTCAATAACACTTATTCTTCAACTAATATGGATGTGTAACTGTAGAACCTGGTGAATAAGTTATGGGAATTATATTCATGTTTAATAAACAATCTTTTACAATGACTGCAATGAATCTTATTAATTAAAATAAAGTCATTTGGTGGATGGTGACTAGCAGTGGAATCCAGGATGCGCATTTCGTTCTATTTGGGACTCATCGGCTGGATGTATCAGCATTCCGTAGTGAGTGATAATGTTCCCTTGTGAGGCTTGAACCCAGTGCCCATAGTTTCAAACGTCAAAGCGTTATCCACTAGACCACTTGCGCCACAAGAGAGGCACCTCTTGTGCAACGTGCCATATTAATTGTTTAGTTCAATTCGAGCCTCGGTGGGAACATCATCACTCATTGCGGAATGCAGGTACATCCAGCCGATGAGTCCCAAATAGGACGAAATGCGCATTCTGGATTCCACTGCTAGTCACCATCCACTAATTAACTTCTAACTACATGACCAGACATCGTCGAAGAATCTGCACAAGGAGCCGACATGTCAACCTGAGACCAGGCACTTCGGTCCAATCAATCGATGGGAAAATCTAAAATTGAATTAAAATTTAAAATGAAAGTTTATTGAATTTTTAAGTGTAATTATTTTAGTGCTCAAAGTATTGTAAATACAGTAGAGTCAGATGGCTTCATACGGCCAATTAAACACTTTCATAATATCACGTTTAGATCTTCCGTATCTCCCATATCTATCAAGCCAATAATCTGGATGCTGTGATCTCCATCCAATCATACCATTTGTTGTTTTTGGAATAGGCTGAGGTGAAGGAAGTATCTTGATGTATTTACTCAATGGTTCGACGCTTAAAACCGGTTCATGGACAAGATCTGAAATTCTAGGTCGGTCTTTATCCACCAATAAATGTATTTCATCTTCTATTATTTTATTTAAAGGTCCTTTCATATACCCGTATTTCGATTCAAATGCTTTGGCTGTCCTGGCTTCATTTTCTACATGCATGCGCCTAAAAAGCATAAATATTAACGGCCCATCAGAAATGAAAAGTTGTTTACCATGCCAATTCTTTTGAAAATGGATCCTTAGGTATCTTATTCTCGCCACCGTACATTGTTATGATGTTTCTGTTTGCCAGAAATTGGTATCCCTACCTCTGTTAGTGTTCTGTTAAAAATCAAGCGGAATGGAAAATCACACAAATACACTTTACTTGTATAACTTTGAAAAGATATAAAATTCATAAATCTAACAAAAGTCAATGGATGCATATAATCTTAGGTTAATGGGTTATTCAGAAAAATATATTACAGATAAATAATACGATAAGATATGCCAAAAGGCAGGAGAGGAATGAATTCACGAGATGGTCAAAATTAACGATACGTTATTTAGCCACACAACTAATTAAGCAAATCAAAGCATTTCTTATCGAAATAGTTGTTATGTGCAGGCTACAAGATTTATTTACATTTCAGGTTCTTTTGGGCTTCACTGCTCTTTTTAAATGTTCTGCTGGAATTCTTTCTTTCCCTATTATGTATCAAAAGAATAGATTTCTCCGTGATATTTAGACAGAGATTATGAATTACTTTAAAGGGAACAGCCGTCAAAATCAAACTACAACTTTGTATACTGATAGTAAGAAATATATTTGAAGACATACATTAAAGTTAATCAAATGAAAACATAAATTCATTTAGTCAAGAAAAAATTAACTCAAATAAATTAACTTATTGTCTTTCCTGATGATTGATTGGACTGAAATGTTCTGTCTCTGTTGACATCTCAGCTCCTATTAAGGACGCTTAGATGTCTGAGGATAAAAAAGTATGTTGTGTGGTAGATAGGAACTAGCAGTGGGATCCAAGATGAGCATTTCATCCAGTGTGCTCTACCAAGTCGAGTGTCGGGACATTTTATTCTTAAGAAGGAATTGTTTTTTTTCCTTCACGTTCCCAGTGGAACATAGGACCTCAAGCTAGTGGCTTGAAGTTTCTGTAGCGGTGTTTAATTTTTACAGGATGGGGTTGCTAGCCTCATGTCCAACCTTTCCTCTTTACCAGCATTATTTCTGGCCTAGAGAGGTAAAGGAGTGCGTCGGCCGGGGATCGAACCCCGGACCATGTGCAGGGTCGGTGAGCGTCTTAACCGCTATGCCACCGACTCTTATGTAGTCCGATTAACTGATATTAGTGGAATACATATTTGAAAGTGAGATGCAATTACAACTAAACACATTTTCATGTTTCAGCTTAAACATGTAAACTTCCCTTTCTTAAATGCACTGATGCAAACTTTGGATTGAACCAATTAGGTAGTTTTCCTGTGATATCCCAAAAACTAATCTTATGCAATCCCTGTAAGTTATCCTTTGTTCGATCATTTCCCCATACCCTGTGTTCCGAGCACAATATACAGGTACAAGCGTTTTAAAGTTCCAGTAACGGCGGTGTGGTTTTTATAGGGTAGGGTTGCTGGCCTCATGCCCAGCCTTCCCTCTCTTTTGTGGGTTTACTATCAGGCCGGAAGAAATTTAGGAGTGTGTTTGTCATGAATCGAAGCTGGACTTTCTCAGTGTCTGACAAGCACTCTACCACTGAACCACTGATGAGCTTTTGTTCTACCACACAACTGCTATTTGTCAATACAATCATCTATACCTAAGTTGCAAACTTTCAACGTAATCATATCAAATTTTCAGTTATATTTATATATCCCGTTAAAAAATATTTTGATTTCGCCTTTATTACATACTGATATCAAGAACAGAATCACTTTAACTTCAAGAAATAAATATTTTAAAGACTGATTTTCATTTTATTCACTTAACGGAGTATTCGAATTTCATTTACAATTTCAAAAAAAATATGGCTGTCATATAAGAGCATACAACTTATCAGAAACTTAATGACATTTAACTGATAGTTTAACCTGAATAATAATGATAACTGTTTAGACCAACAGCCATTTTATCCGAGCAAATTTCAAGAACTGTAAGCTAGAACGTGCACTGGACCTATGAATTTTATTCACAAACTATGTTTCTCTTCATTATTTTTGTTTTTTACTGGGAAATACGCCAGAAATTACCGTTACCCGCCTACAATTTTAGCTGAGTCCTTCATTTACATATTAAAGAGTTTGTTAAAAAAGTAACTAGTCTTAATAGAAATCATACCAATCAAATTAAACTATACAGTATTTCTCAGGAAATTAACACTTTAACATAATAATAAAAAATAGGATAGGCAGAGCAATACTTTCAGCTTCTCGCAGCAGTTCTTGTTAAGCTCAAGGCCATGACTGTTACTTCACGTTCCTTGTGTTCCGAGTCAAGCTTAGGGCTTCAGTAGCGTATCTCCATTACATTTTGTTGTCTGCCAACATTTTAAGCTGCTGTCACCACCACCCACAAGCCTTCATTTCCTTCACACCATCAGACCCACTCCTAACTAGTCGCTTTCCATCCGGGTTCTACTTGACAGCTTAGCATGTGGTGTCAGTAGAAGGTATGCTCAGAGTGTGTCCAATCTATCTCTATTTCCTTCGACATTTTTTGGTTGAAATGTTCTTGGTTGTTTCTTTGCCAGAGTTCTTTGCTGCCTCTCTTTTTTGGCTGGCCATCTCATCTTTAGCATTAAGCAAAAAGAGATGTTGATGAGACTGACCGACTAGTCTAAGCATAGGGCTGTGCACAAAAGCGCAACAGTTAGAGTTGCTGCACTCCATGTAGCACACAAAGGAAGAAAAAGAAAAAAGAGATTCAAAAGGACGATAATAAGCAGAAATGTGAGGGAGAATAGGAAAATGGAAAAACAACAGGGTTTTAATGGATATGGGAGATCACACAGGGTGAATGTATCTGCGCTGTTGAGAACGATCTTTAGCCATATCACCGATTTTCTACAGCCTGTTGAGGGTGCTTTTTGTGATGCATGCCGTCTATGGACCATATAGAAGCAGTGACTTGACATTGAGGAATCTGATTTTGTTCCCTATGCTGGATACTGCAGATCACCATGCAGATTTCAGAGTAACGAAAGCTTGTTTTGCTTTCCTAGTCCCCACTGGTTTGAACATCATCATCTGTGCCATCTGTAGTAGAGACATTGATGGCCATGTAATTCAAAGAGGTGACTTCCTTTAAATTCCCCTGCTAATGGTAATTGGTGTTTTTCCTGCTGTTGGTTAGGTAGCTTCATCACCTCTCTCTTTTCTGTGCTCACCCGTCCACTCATCGCTAATGACGGTCGATCCAGGAGTCCTCTGAAGTGGTCTGCCCGCCATTTCCTCTCTCTCACCTCCATGGTAACTAGCTTTACTTCACTGTCTTTCGTCGGGTTCACCTGAGTTTATCTCTTCCCCTGCAACGACCTGGTCATTCGATATGGTTTTTTAAGGTCTCTTTTATACAGCCTGTTCTGATTGAGTTACCAGTGTGTCGTAGAAGCATCTTTCGTTCCCAGCACTCTTCTTCACTTCTTTGCTCAGTGTGGTGTATATCATACTTCTTCATTTTTCGCTTTACTATGCATCTCTTTTCTGGCAGCTTTTAGGTGATTACAGAGTAACCTTTCTTTTCTTTTTTTCTTCCCATTTATATATATATATACAGGATTCTTTACACGTTGTTTTCAGTGGGTTCCAGTGTTCTTCCATGCAATTTTCCTCAGTGATGTTGCCTAATGCCTCCAACCATTTCCTGATGAATCTGTTACTTGCAGCTTTGTCTTCCAGTTTCTGAGTGTTGAACTTGAATTGTGATCTGTCTCCAGTTTCATCGGGGCTTTCGATTTAACCTTGTAAGTTTCTTGAACTAGATAGTGGTCTGATGTCACATCTTCTCCTTTGCTCGGTTTTGTGTTCATCAGACTGCTTCTGTACATTCTATATAACAAAACCCATGTTGCCCTGTGTAGGTCCTTGTGTTTGTATCCGTTATCTCCAACCACCGAAATTACTGCAGGCGTAGAAGTCTGGAAAGAGTTTGGGGCTATCATTCAGCTCATTAAGTGAGATTCTACCGATCCATGACGAGTTCTCTTCCTGTGTTGTCTGCTCCTAGTTCGGTATTCATATCAGTCATCAGAACTATGATGTCACCGTCTGCTTGGCTTTTGTTCACTACTGTCTGCTACTGTCTGTAGAATTCCTCCATCTTCTAATGATTTGCACTGTTTGTAGGAATGTGGTATTCGATAACGGTAACTTTACTAAATTTTGAGGTGAATCTTGCTGTTATTATTTACATGGCATTGTTCTGATGGATTATGGGGCGGCGTTGCAACTTTTATTCACTTCAAATGGTCTATTTCTAATAATGTTTGCTTCTCATTCTCAAATGACTTCATAGACTGTATTACCGTCAAATGTCGCCCCAAACATCTCCCCAAATATAAACATATTTTTGTTACAAACATGTACATTTCTCCCAGTTGCTCACTATCTGATCTTTCAAATTTTGCTAAGAATTCACCATGTTTGCCGCTGCCAGCTTCGACAACTCTCTATCTGTTATTACGGGTGATTTCAACTCCTCAGATTGCTCTTTCCTTGAAGCTCCTGGTCACACAAACATAGTCAAATTTCCCACTCGACTTGACAAAACACTCGATTTAGTTTTTACTAATGACGAAGGAGTATATGAAACATGTAAACGTGCACCGATCCTTAACTCTGATCACTGTATTGTTCGTGTCTTACCCAGAAGATACAACAAAACACATATTAACGTCTTCTCACACTTGTCTATGAAAGCACAACTAAGATGCTACTCATCTGACAACTTACTCAATCTAAGGTGCATGTTAAAAAATACTAACTGGGATTTATTCCATGAAAGTACATTAGATGACACAATTGCCAATATAACGGATTATCTTAAGTTCTGCCTTGATATATGCTGTCCCAAACAAACACTATTCAAACGCCTCGACCGCTTCTCGTCTCCTTGTCTCAAACAACTTCGCAGGCAAAAAGAAACATTATATAAATCCAAAGATAAGTTAGGACTCAAAAAGATTAATGCTCAAATCAAAGCTGAAATCAAAAATCTTAGTGCTATCCACAACGATACACTTTCATTATGCAAATCTCCTATCAACATATGGAAACTTTTTAATGAAATTACTGGCAATAGTAAGCGATGCAGTGCTTTTCCCTCT